ACACACATACACACACCATATAGCACACACACACCACACACAGTCACACACATACACCACAGACTATACACACACATACACACCACATACACCACACACACACACATGTCACACACATATATACTACACACCCACCCACACCCCACATACACTGCTTCTCTTCACACAGAGTGGTAATAGATCTTTGCTGAGTAGAGTCTATGCAGAACTAGAAATACTAAGTCACTCGACCAGCTTTTAAGCAGTGTCCTCGGAGTAACTCTGAACCAAGTCAGACCTGGACGGAATGCATATTGTTTTGGACACAAACACATTATAACACATAATACTAACACAATAATATAAAACCATTTAAAATAACACAAGTATAGTTTAGAATCCACAAAGCAAAGCAATCAAATCAAAATACTCAACGTTTCCTACTCTCTCCAGTCAAGGCTGGTCACAGGCTGACAAAGCCTCACTAGCCCAGGGGAAACTGTCACTCCAGGGCAGGGGACAGAAGGTGGCTGTCAAGTTGTCACAATGCTCCCAATCAAACCTCTACCTCATTCTCTTCTTGGATTAAAGAGCTTTTCTTCTTGTTTAAGTTCTAAAATTCATTTATTTAAAAACTACATTAAAAAAAATCCTCTTTGAGATCCTTATAAATTCAGAAGTTTAATCTCAGTAATATGTATTGTTATGCCATTTCAAGAAAAATACAGTGTCTTTAATAAATCCTTTTGTTAATTTATTGTTTCAGACAGGGTCTCATGGCATAGCCCTGGCTGTTCTAGAACTCTCTATGCAGACCAAGCTGGCCTTGAACTCACAGATTCTGGGCCTTCCAACTGCTGGGATTAATGGCAGATATGCCCAGCTCTCTATAAAGCTTTTTAGAGTTGTGTTAAGACAAAGTTTACTACCAGTGATACTTCATACCCTCACCATGTAAAGCTATCACCAGAAAGTTCCAGAACATTCGTCCCAAAGGAAACTCCTACTCATCATATCCTGTCCCCCAGTCTCTGATGATCACAGATCTGCTTTTTGTACGATTTTGTCTACCTTGGATATTTCATCCAGTGCACGGCCTCTTGTGGCTGCTGCCTTCCACTCAGCACACTGCATCAGCGCTCAGCAGCCGTCCATCCCCCTGACTGAGTACATTCCATTGCATGTGTGTGTGCAGTGTTCATCCTGACACAACCTGGAGGGAGCTCGGGCCATTTCCTCCTTTTGATTGTTGTGTTTATGGCTGCTGTGACTATTTGTGTATGCAAGCTTCTGTTTGAACAGGTTTCCAATTTTAGGTATACTGTCAGGAGTGGGATGGCTGGGCCACACAGCAGTACTGCAGCAAGCTGCCTGTGCAGATGCACCTTTTACATTCCCACAGAGAGCAAAAGGCCCGATTCCTCCATGTCCTCTCCAACACTCATTTTCTGATTTAAAGATTACAGTCATTCTAGTGGGTGTGACACCCCATCTCTTTGTGCTGATTTGCATAATGACCAGTGATGGTGAGTATCTTTTCATGTGCTTGTCCTTTGTCTCACTCCACTGGCAAGGTCTACTTAAGTCCTTTGCATATCTCTAGTTGGACTGTCTCTTTGGTATTGAAGGTCCGAATTTCTTTTATATTCTAGAACTCTAGTCCCTTACCAGATATATAATTTGCCAACTATTTTCTCCCACATTGAGTTGGCTTTTCACTTCGTGTAATTCTAGGCATGTCTGAACAGGTGTTTTCCTCTCATTTGACTGGGACCTTGCTCTGTGCTTGGTCAGCGGGCAGAGAACTCTTGGGATCTGCTCCCTAGTACAGAGGTTACAGCCATGCCCTGCTTATGTGAACATGGCTTTTGGGGATTCAAACTTAGGTCCTCAAGCACATGCAGCAAACACTCAGAGTTTACTCTTACCCACCGAGCCACCTCAAGCCCCTTCTCTTTTCTTTCTTAAGACAGGACAGAGTCTCACAATGTGGACTAGGTTGGCCTCAAACTCAAGAGATCATCTGCCTCTGCGTTGGGTTTAAAGGTACACTCCACCATGCCTGGCCTGGTTTGTGATGTCTAACTAATGCATAGCTTATGGATTTAGTGTCATAGCCAGGAAACCACTCCTATGTGGTCCAAGGTCACCAAGGCCATGTCTGTTATCTTCTCAGGATTGTGGTTTTAATTCCTGTATTTAGATTTTTTTTTTTAAATCTACTTTGTATTAACTTTGCACCCAGTGGGAAAGGCTGAGCTCTCTTCTTTTCCATGTGTATATTTTTCCTAAGTGGCTTGCATCCTTACTGGAAACCAGTGAGTCTGGTACACTTTCTATAGTACTTCTGGACTTTCTATTCCATACTATTGACCTATATGTTTACTTATAAATCATACTGTTTTTTGTTTGTTTGTTTGTTTTTCGAGACAGGGTTTCTCTGAGTAGCCCTGGCTGTCCTGGAACTCACTCTGTAGACCAGGCTGGCCTCGAACTCTCGAACTCAGAAATCTGCCTGCCTCTGCCTCCCAAGTGCTGGGATTAAAGGCGTGCGCCACCATCACCCGGCCAACCATACTGTTTTGATTGTTACTTTGCAAAAAAAAAATTGAAATTAGAAAACTGAGTCTGATTTCACTTCCCCGTTATTAAAGATGCTTGTTTTATTGGTCCTTGTGGGTCTCTTGTAATTACATATACATTTTAGGATGGACTTTCTTAGTCCAGTAAAATGGTTGGGGTCTCAGTAAAGAGTGTACTGACTCTAAGACGTTGGGCTGCTCTCACCTGAACCCCTGCCTTCCGACCGGTGAACACAAGATGCACTTTGCATATTTACATTTTCTCTATCTCAGTGATGCTCTCCCTTAATTATATCACACTTTTCTTTGTTAGTGTGTAGAAACATTACGGATCTTGTGAGATCCTCCATACAACAACGTTAAGGAAACTGTAGTTAGCTAGGGGGCTTGTGTATGGGCTCTTTAGACTTTTTAAAGTGTAGGAGTATCCTGTCAGTGTGATGGTTTGAGTATGCTTGGCCCAGGGAGTGGCACTATTTGGAGGTGTGGCCTTGTTTGAATAGGTGTAGCCTTGTTGGAGTAGGTGTGTCACTGTGGGTGTGGGCTTTAAGACCCTCTTCCTAGCTGCCTGGAAGCCAGTATTCTGCTAGCAGCCTTCAGATGAAGATATAGAACTCTCAACTCCTCCTGCACCATGCCTGCCTGGATGCTGCCATACTCCTGCCTTGGTGATAATGAACTGAACCTCTGAACCTGTAAGCCAGTCCCAATTAAATGTCCTTATAAGAGTTGCCTGGTCATGGTGTCTGTTCACAGCAGTAAAATCCTAACTAAGACAGAAGTTAAATCTAGGGGCTGGGGTATTGCTGTGATAGGCCTGACCATGCTTTTGTTTGGAAGAATGTGGATTTTAGGACTTTGGGTTTGGAAAGCAGTGGAATGCTTTAAATGGGGCTTAATGGGCCATCCTAGTAGGAATATGGAAGACTTTGTTACTGTGAGTGACTTGAACTGTGCAGACCTGGCCCAAGAGGTTTCAGTGGACTTCAGTATGTGGCCTAGAGATTGTTTTTGTGGTACTTTGGTGAAGAATGTGGCTGCTTTTTGCCCTTATCTGAAGAGTCTGCCTGAGACTAAGGTGAAGAGACTCAGATTAGTTGCATTGACAAAGAAACCCCCATCATAGACTTTTTTCTAAGTCTTAGAAGAGCATTTTGAATAAGCAAGCAAGCCAGTAAGTAACATCCCTCCATGGCCTCTGCATCAGCTCCTGCTTCCTGACCTGCTTGAGTTCCAGTCCTAACTTGCTTTGGTGATGAACAGCAATGTGGAAGTATAAACTGAATAAACCCTTTCTTCTCCAACTTGCTTCTTGGTCATGATGTTTGTGCAGGAATAGAAACCCTGACTAAGACAGTCAGTTAATAGAGTTTTACTTCCTTGTTTTAAAATCTGAATTCCCTATTTCTTTCTCTTTTTCTAATTCCTTTGGTTACAGCTCTAGTTCAGTGTTGAACAGCACCAGACAAGAGGCAGGTTCTGGAGCACAGGGTGAAGGTCCCACTTTCTCATTTACTGTGGGCTTTCAGAAAAGCCTCTTACCAGGTTAAGGGAATTTTCTTCTTTCTAATCAATCTCTCTCTCTCTCTCTCTCTCTCTCTCTCTCTCTCTCTCTCTCTCTCTCTCTCCCCCCCCCCCCCCACAAAAGGCTACTGTATGTTAATAAATGTTTTAAAAATTAATAAAAAATCATTTTCTCCTCTTTTATTCTACTGCCATAGAAGATGACATTGTTTTTCTCAAGAATGTTATGATTATTGACTTGAGCTCTTTACTTGTTACAGATCTGCACAGATTGTCCACTTTCTGATTCAGTTTTTATAATTTGTGTGTAACTAGGAATTTGTCCATCTTGTCTTGGTTATATATAATTTATTGGAATTAAGGCTTATTTTTAATAATTTGTTTACAGTTTACTCAAGTAATGGAACTCAGTACTTAAGCTGTTTGAAATGCTTTATGCACTTCCTTTCCTAAAGCAAAATATATATACAATTCTCTGAGTGATTTAAACAAACTTCTCCTTAAATATTAAGAAACCAGCTGGGCATGGAGGTGCACACCTTTTATCCCAGCACTCAAGAGGCAATCTGGTCCATTTAGTGAGTTCTAGGCAAGTCAGGGCTACATAGTGAGACCCTGTCTCAAAGAGCAACCCCCCCCCCCAAAAAAAAGTCGTTCAATCAGGAGGGAATGTGTTTCACTTTTTAAAGAAAGCAACTAAAATAAAGGCTATCTTAATATAAAATAAGAATATATTAATCATAACATTATACTTTGAAAGATGCAACTTTAGTTTATGTTCATTTTTATATTAAGGTAATGACTTGTCTCTTAAAGGGAATTTCATACAATATTGCTGCCCAGGGCATTTTACAAACAATAAACAATTCAGACATTATTAACATTCATGTATGTAATTAGAGTTTACAAATGTACAAAATTTCGAGTAACAAATGCTTTAAACTTACTTTTCAAATATTCGGTTAACATGTCCCCCCGCCCTGTTAGTTACTTGATTACAAAGAAGTACAAGGGGACCCTAGCTGTGTCCACATGTCTGCAACGAGGCAGCAGACAGAACACAGGACAGCTAGACAATTGTGTCAGTATCAAAAGGACAACGTCAAATAAACTTTTGTAATATAAAAGAAAATAAATCCACATAATTAAATACTAGTTAGGTGGGAGAACGTTAGCTAGCATACAGCATGTATTTTCTCTACACAAGCTTGCATATCTTAACGTAAGCATCCTGCTTTAATCTCAGTGACACCTGTCACAGTTGACGGATCTAGATGGGATGGAATGGCTATTTAAGTAGGACCCAGAGGTCCAGTCAAGTTTTTATTTGGTCAGTCTTATTTTTAATGCATAATGTGGTTTTTCTTTATTCTTGGGTTAAACAAATTTTAGTAATAAAATTCACAACTATAGTATACATAATATCATTGTACCTGAAAAAGCTAGCTAGTATCATCTTTAGTATGTCATTAAAATAGTGGTTTGATTAAATGATAAAAATTATGGAAGCTCATGTATGGCAAATTTCTAAAATAACATTTTAGAAGTTTGTATGCTTGCACTGTAATAACTCTGGACAATGTGAATTCAGTCAGTGCTGGATTGTTCTGGGGGCAGTGCATTTGTCTTCATATTGTATACCAAGAAGGTGTTCCCCGTCCTCCAGCTGTGGCTTTAATGTACTGAGAAATGAAGTATCCCGTCCCAGTGTACCCACTCCTTCCCCGTCGTTTCAACAGCTTCACTTTGAAGGTGAAGATGAAGCACTTTGTGCCTAGGAATGTGGCACTGCGCAGGCACTAAGAAAGAATCCATGGGAGGCCTGTCCGTGTGTTACAGAGGGAGAGAGCACCTCTCTGTAGAGGACAAACAGTGATGTCATATCTTCACAGTCACAACACATGCTCCAGCTCTTCCTAGGCACAGTGGAGCGACCTGAAAATGGACAAGAGATATGGGTGTTGGGTGTGGAGGGAGACACACCTAGGTGTACTGTGAGAACAGGTGAGTGAGAGATAGGAACCAGACAGACAGTTTAGCTTAGACAGCTTAGGAAACACAATGCAACCACTTCCCACAATGCTGGCAGTGGGGTAGACAATGGCTCCAGACTTTACAATCTCACTTCAGCCCCACTATAAATGTCTGATTATTCATTTATTAACACAGTATAATGGAAGCAGTTATCGTTCAGGTACTACAAGTGTAAGCTCACACTTTTAGGTGCTTAAAACAGCAACCACAGTAGTAGCATCCAAATAAGGTAGCTGTGTGGTTACAGATACTGACTTAAAGACAAACTAGGCTCATTCCTGTTTACGATTAAATATCTGTTTCTCATGGACTGGGCTGTGCCCCACCTGTAACCTTACCTTCCAATGGTTCTGTACTGTCCATTCCAGAAATGACAACTGCCTTGGTTTCAGGAGATTGTTATGACCACCTTGTTACAGCCATGTCTGCCCCAGGAGGCTGACACCCACTTGTTATGCCTAGGCTCTGCTTCTGGAACCCTGCCTGCCAGATCAGATCCATTTGGAAACCCCCACTCCTCAACTATGAACTCCCTCATCTTCCCCATGGACAAGGCTGATCTCTTGAACCCTGCATTAGGGAGAGACAACCCATATATGCAAATAAAAAGCTTGCTTTTGGGCTGGACCTAGGTTCCCCCTACATATGTAGTAGATGTACAGCTTGGTCTTCATGTGGGTCCCCCAACAACTGGAGAGGGGCTGTCCCTGCCTCTGTTCCTGCCTCTGGCTCCATTAGGGGTTGAGATTTGAGAACTCAAAAGCCCATTCCAGGTCCAGTGTTTCTGTCTGTCTGTCTGTCTGTCTGTCTGTCTGTCTGTCTATGACAGGCACCAATATTTATTGTTCCATACTTCCTAACCCCAGACACAGTGTGACCAGCTGCCTAATGCTTTTGCCACCATTGCTCTCCCCAAAAGAAGGGCCTTTCCTGAAAGAGCTGTGGTCAGCTGGTCAGCTAGAAGTCCTTGCCACACTGAGTTATTATTGTTAATGCAATTTAGGTTTGCCATGTTTATTAGCTAATAACCAGAAATTTAATATACTTCCAAATACTGAGTCTTTAAAAATGATTACTCTTGTATGGGTGAACTGCTCACGTATTTCTGACAACTGTCCTTGCTTATTTTCTACAATATTCCCTCCCCTTGATACAGCCCTCTGTGGTCCTGTCAGCTTTACCACCGCTACAACATCCTATCAAACGAATGGTGGTTCATGATTTTTCTGCATATTAATTTATACTTCAAAGGAATTTGGATTTTGGTATAAAATCAGACACTGCATTTTGTTTTTTAATATTTAGTCAAGAGATAGCTTTATCTCATTAAAAAAGACTAGTTTGGGCTGGTGAGATGGCTCAGTGGTTAAGAGCACTGACTGCTCTTCCAGAGGTCATGAGTTCAAATCCCAGCAACCACATGGTGGCTCACAACCATCTGCAATGATATCTGATGCCCTCTTGTGGGGTGTCTGAAGACAGCTACAGTGTACTTATATATAATAAAAAAAAAAAAAAAAAAAAAGACTAGTTTGTTTTTATTTTATGTGTCTGAATGTTTGCCTGCATGTATGTATACGCATGTGTATGCAGTGTTGATTAGCATCCGGAAGAGGGCATCGGGTCCCCTGGAACTAGAGGATGTCGTGAGCTTCCGTTCAAGTTCTGGGAACCAAACTGGGTCCTCTGCAAGAGCAGCAAGTGCTCTCTCTTAACTGCTGAGTCTCTTGGGCCCCGCGTTTGTGTGCTACTTGTCAATGTTGGACAAAGCTGAGGGTCTTATGGAAAGATGTTTTCAGGATAAGAGAGAGGTGAGACAAGGAGAGACGAAACGGCGTACCTGGGTCCATTCGTTGGTCTGGGGGTCGTAAGCCTCCACTATGTTCAGGTACGTCTGTCCATCATAACCCCCGACAGCATACAGCTTGTCACCAAGTAAACACACGCCCACCGCATCTCTGCCGATGCTCATGGATGCCACTGCAGTCCACATGTCTGTTTTGGGATCATATCTGAAAGAAAAGTTTACAACTCGACCTGACATTGCTCTTGAAATATTTTGTGTACAAGCATTTGTCCTGCAAGTCTAGCTTTGGTCTGATCTCTGATACAAATGTGTTTTGAACATATTTTAGAAAAAAAGATTGGTATTTTCCTAAAAAAACAAACAAAAAAACCCCAAAACCAAACATACAACACCTTAACTTATGGTGTTATAGATTCATCTAGTAGATATAGCATACTTAAGAACTCAACATATATAAACGGATCCAAGGCTTCCATGTCCCCATTGACAATGTGGGCAAAGCAATGTATTAAGCTTTGTGCAAGATGATTTAAATTCTCATTATGGTAGCTATCCATTTTTCTCTCTCGCTCTTTTTAAACTAGAACTGCTCAATGGTGTTGTTTAAAGGGTAGATAGTTCATGCTAACATGCCATATTGCATCTGATGTTTGTTTGTGTGTGTGTGTGTGTGTGTGTGTGTGTGTGTATGAACACCTGTCTTTTCTTGGTGTGATTAATCACACTAAAGACTCCTGGCTTTCCTTCCTGGATCATAACATGAGCGGAGTTCTAACTACCTTCTCCTCATTACAGATGACGCAGCTGTAGCTTAGCTGCCTTCTGTAGCAGCACCAGGGCTGCTTGTTATTGGAGACTGCAGAGTATCATCGGAGCCTGGATTAGAGTCTGCCCACCTTGTCATTATGGTTAGTCGCTAAGTAAACCATCCCAATCTTAAACTGTTGGATCCATTCTCCCTTCTGGTACTCACTGACTTCATGTTCCTCTTTCAGATCTAAAATCCTTGCCACTGCCCCAGCGCTCTGTGTGACTGGCTCCTCCCACACTGGCTCCTCCCACACTGGCTCCTCCCACACTGGCTCCTCCCACACTGGCTCCTCCCACACTGGCTCCTCCCACACTGGCTCCTCTCCAGCACTCTCCCCATCATGTTTGGCTCTCTGGCCACACAGTTGCCCTTCATGTCCCATGTGAACCATCTATCTATCATCCATCTATCTATCTATCCATCTATCTATCTATCGATCTATCTATCTATCTATCTATCTACCTATTTTTTTCTGTTTTGGTGCGTTCACACATGATTCTAGTGATTCCTCCTGTAAAATGCATTCAATTCTCTCTTGTCCTTAAGCTAAATAAAAAATATATGAAGACTCGACCTGCCAGCCAAATGTTCACTGCTGTTAAGTGCTTCAAGACTTGTAAGAACTTCTAATTTTTCTTTATCTTTTTCTAATATTCCGTTGTATATCAGAATGGGCCAGATGTATCACTATCCTTTGAACTTCTTACATGGCTTCCAGCCCTAACACATTCTTTCTGAGATTCATCAAGTTCCTTTACATTTCTGGTAAAGCAGAATCCAGTACAAAACAGCTGAACAATAAATGCTTGTCCTAGGCAGAGGCAGGGAGATTTCTGTGTTTGAGGCCAGCCTGGTCTACAGAGTGAGTTCCAGGACAGCCAGGGCTACACAGAGAAACCATGTCTGGAAAAGGCAAAAATAAATAAATAAATAAATAAATAAATAAATAAATAAATGCTTGTCCTAGGGGATACATTATAGGCTCAATCCCAAGTTTGAGGATAATATATGAGGAGACAGGAATCCAAGCGTGTGTGGTTGGGAGACAGGCAGAGAGACAGCCAGAGAAGACAGTCCAGTGTTTGCAGAACTGTGTGGAGAGCATGCTGAAGGATGCTCACTAGTCTACGACTTTGTCTGGAAATGTGTGAAGCTATTTTTTTGTTGTTTGTTTGCTCTTAGCATTCCTTCACAGGAAATTACCTCTCCACACAGTCCGAGAGCCTGGAAGTCAAGTTGGATGTGGGAGCATCGTGTCCCCCGATGGCATACAGCAGCCCGTTCCAGGTGGTGACTCCCACGCCGCCTCTCCTCTTTGACATCTGGGCACACAGTGTCCATTTATTGGTATGAGGGTCAAAGCATTCTACTGACTTGAGGCAGGAGCTCCCGTCGCGGCCACCAACGGCATAAAGTCTGTAGAAAAGAACACAAGAGGCAACAAAGACACCGCAGTGCTGGGCCAGACTGCTGCTGTGACAGTTCGATGACTTTAAAGTGCCATCAATGATGCAGCATGCTGACGACACTAAGAAAGCAGATGTGCCACCAGTGAAATGATATCCGCAACAGCCATCTAAAATGATGTCCACATCTGTGCCCTTAGGCCCTTACGACATGACACAGGGGACTTAGCGCATGGGCCTGAGGAAACAGGAGCTTAGGCAGAAATTATATTCTACTTTTCTTTGGTTTTTCTGAGCCAGGGTCTGACTCTGTAGCCTCAGCTGCCTCAGAACCCATTATACAGACCAGCCCTGCTCCAAACTCAAGCGTTCTGCCTCTGCCTCTGGAATTAAGGCTGCATGGCCACTCTGATCACCATCTCTATCCTTCTATCACAACTCAACTTTCTCTCCTCCCTCTGCCTGTAAGTGATAACATGAACGCCATTAAACAAACAAACAAACAAACAAACTAATTAAAAACCATCAAGGGGCTTATTTTGTGGAGGGCCAAAGGGTGAAAAGGTTTGTATTTTGTCCTCATACAACTGAGAACTGTGAGGACCCTGTACAAATATGTGCATTGACAGCAGACAGAGGGCAAGCAAAAGGGTTTTCTTAAATCCATTCTGGGGTCACCAGTCTACCAAGATGAGAAAGAAGAGACATAAAAATAAAGATGATGCAGTGAAAATGATGGAGAGGGTCTTTAGGGAGGCATCGAAAGACCACAGCACCGAGAGAGAGAGCACAGCACCGAGAGAGAGATCACAGCACCAACAGAACCGATAGAGAGACCACAGCACTGAGAGACCACAGCACTGAGAGAGAGAGAGAGGTCTCAGCACTGAGAGACCACAATACTTAAATTTTTAAATGTAATCAATTTAAATAGAATCAATGTTTCCATTTTTCATATAACTGCATATACATACTTTGCATGTATGTGGACACATGGGTTTGTGGGTACACATACATGTGCACATATGTATATGTGAAGCCTGAGGTTGATGTCACATATCTTCCTCCATTGCCCTCTACTTTATCTAGCAAGGCAGGCCTCTCAATCAAACCCAGAGCTCCTGGATAAGGCCAGCTAGGCGGCTTGCTCTGGTGATGCCCTGTCTCTGCCTTTCCAGGCTGGGATGACAGTTGGGCTGCCTTACCCTTCTGCATGGGTTTTATGGACCTAACTGTGGTCCTCATGTTTGTTCAGCCACCGCTTTAACTGCAAACATCTTCCACCCCACTGTAGTACCTTAAAAGGAACATAGGACTTTGAAGGTATTTAAACCACCAGATGGTTGCTGTTCAATTAATATTGGTTCTTTATATAAGTGGTATACACTCCAAAGTAGCATCGTGTGGTCCCTTAGCGACGAGCAGTGAGGGCTGTTATGGACAGAGGTCAGAGGAAAGTGAAAGGCTTTGTTAACTCACACGAAGAACTTCTCTAGCAATAATAAATCTGGTTTATTGTGACTGAAATAGAACTTCAAATATCTCCTTACTTTCCACTGAGTACTGCCACGCCTACTGTGCTCCTGGGGGTGGACATAGTGGCAACAAAATTCCACTGGCGGGCCTGAGGGTCCCATCGCTCCACCGTATTCAGATAACTCCAGCCATCGTGCCCTCCAACTGCGTACATGGGGCCTTCCAATACAGCCACACCTGCAAGTGGACCAGAGAGAGGGAGGGCTGATTGGAATGTAAGTACAGTAAGTCTGAAACATGCAACTGTAACCAATCACAAATAGGCCACAGCTCCTGGGCTCCCTCAGGGCTTTTCTGAGGTAGTTGGGTCCAAACCAGCACTGTGATTCTTTTCCTGAAAATTAGAGACAGTATTCTGAGGTACAACAGCAGAAAGTTTGTACATGTCACCATTTCTATGACCTTCAATCTTCAGGTTTTCATTCTTTCCCCTCTAGGACTTCAGAAACCTGGGTTTTACTACAGATAAGTTTGATACCACAGCCTTGTATTTACTGGTATCATTATCAAGGAATAGAGTCAGCAGACGTCTTAGTTTCTACTTAATCGGCACTCCATAGCACTTAACAGGTAAGGACCGTGCCCTTGTGGGTCAATACTGTTTTACAGGACAGATATGCAATACGTAGTAGCATATTTTCCTTCCAAGTTGGGAGGAGCTAAGGTGGGAGGAGTAAGGAGAGGAAGAGGAGAAGTAAGAAGAGGAAGAAGGGAAGGAAGAGCTGAAGAGGTAGAGATGTAGGAGCCACGGAGAGCCACACATGTATCGGGAGCAGCCCTGGGTAATAACTTATATCTAGGTTAGTTAATTGGCTAACACTTCTAATTGTGTGGGCATCTTGTTATTTGACCATTACCAAATATATAAAGCTATTGGAAAATCTTTAAACATCAGAGTCTCTTTTCTACACAATACCGTGAGGATGGTAGGATGGTATGGGCTCAGCCTAGCCTTGTGAAGACAGTGTGGAAGATTGGCAGAGCCATCTCTCACACTGGCATCTTGTCTCGTGGGTGGCAGGACTGGTGTCTCTGGCCGCCTGAGCCAGAGGCCTGAGCCGAGCAGTGGCTAGAATATGCTGCAGCCGCTTGTGGCCACAGGCCTTGTCTAGTCGGGAACATGGCAGCTGAATAAGAACAAACAGATTGAGTGCCGCCGATTTAAATAATTACTTCAACACAATACACAATACACATCAGGTGTGTGCCCACTTAAACAATGAAGCAGTGTAAGTAAGGGCAGAGAGGGTCGGGGACACCTGCATGACATGTCAATAGAAGCATGACTGCCATTAGAGACCATACACAAGGGAAGGAAGAGGCAGCACAGCAACGGCATGCTGGGGAACCCAAGTTGTCTATTTGGCTGAGCAGGTAACTGATAGGGAGAGGACAGAAGAGGAGGGAATCAGAAATAACATTCTCTGACCTTATCCCTCATAAGGACTTTAGATTTTATTCTGAATGGGATGGAGTCAATCAAGGATTTCTTGTTTTTTTGAGACAGGGTCTCTCTATGTAAAGTAGGCTGTTCTCAAACTCATAATCCTCTTTCCTCTGCTTCCCAAGTGTTGGAATTATAGGCGTGTGCCACCACATCTGGTTAAACAGAGGATTTTTAAAAAAGACTTATAGATTTGTTTTATGTATGTGAGACACACCAGAAGAGGGCATCAGATCCCATTACAGATGGTTGTGAGCCACCATGTGGTTGTTGGGAATTGAACTAAGGACCTCTGGAAGAACAGCCAGTGCTCTAAACCTCTGAGACATCTCTCCAATACTCAAGCAGAGGATCTTAAGAAGAGGAATGGCATGATTGTGGCCAAAAACACCTCTGTAATTCAAACCCAGCAATCTTGGCCAAGTAGGATAAAAGAGCCATATAACCCAAAATAGCATATTATTTCACTTGTTATATATTGTGCCAACAGTACTGGCTACTGAACACATGCACATACACACACACACACACACACACACACACACACACGAAAAATATATTTACACACATTTAAGTTTGTATATATTACCAAATTTACAAAACATACCCAGTTTAACATATACAAACTATCATTCATCAAAGGCCTAGAAGAAGGGCTCATTTAGTCCAACCTCTTGAATGGTGGATCTGAAAATACAGGTCAGCAGGGAAAGCCCTTCCTGAACAAAGTCTTCATGTAATTCCCATTCTTGAAGAAATTTAAAAACTTAAGTTCATCTTGTATGTTCAGATGTATACAAATGACCTATTAAAAGCATATGGCAGCTAACAACCATCTGTAACTCCAGCTGCTGGGTTTCCCTGCATTGCATACAAATGGTGTACATATATGCATTTAGGTAAACACCCATATACATAAAAAAATAGAATGAGAAGAAATGCCTGTATGATAATTTGGGGGATGTATGTGAATTCAGTCATTTCTGCTTAAAAACCGTAATATACACATACATGCACAACTTACCATTATTGATTTTCATATAATATAGAAGTTAACACGCTAGTTTTAATGAGCATTTAACTAGGCTGTCTAATGACAACTGCTAACAAAGCATAAAGGTAAGAGCATGGCTTGTCAGACCGGCATGCTTCCCTGACTCCCCCGGATCCTGTGCTTCCCCTTGGATGAGCTCCGTTTATGTAAGTGCTTGGGTTCTGGTTTCTGCTTCTCAGGTATGCGGGGTGCTTGGTGACTGATGCTGACTGAGCCCACACACAGGTCTCCTGCCTGGTACAGATGGGAACAATGTGGTGGCGTCCTGACATACGGCTTCTGAGGAGGCGAGCAGATACACTTACCAAGCCCATGCCGGTGTGTGGACATAGGTGGCATCACGCTCCAGGTTTTTGTTTTGGGGTTGTAGCACTCCACGGTGTTCAAAGTCTTCAGTCCATCTCGACCTCCGACCACGTACAGCTTGTCATCTAACACTGCGACCCCGAACTGTAGCCTCCTCCCGTTCATGTTTGCCACAGGGGTCCACATATTTGTACGGAGGTCGTACTTCTCAATGCTTGTTGCTCCTGAACAGTGACGAAGAGAGTTAGGAGACTACAAATTCCGCCATGGCTAGGTTACAGACACAGGAGTACAATTTATCTTCTGTGTGTGCTGCCGGTGTGTGTGTGTGTGTGCCGTTAGAGGTTGATGTGTCTTCCTGCGTCACTCTCCACTTTGTTTTTCCAGAGGGGTCTCTCTGAACCTGGAACTCACTGTTCTAGTTAGGCTGGCTAGAGAGGGCTCCAACAATCCACCTGTCTGCCTCCCCAGCACTGGGGTTCCACAAATAATCTGTGTATGGTTTCTGGGGATCTGAACTCAGGTCCTCTTGCTTGCATGGAGAAGCACTTTACCGATGGAGTCATCTCCCTAGCCCAAAGTATTAAGGTTTTTTTTTTTTTTAAATCAGCATCAATAGCAACACTTTTTTCTATCATATGAAGCCCCTACAGTATGGCCTTGCCCACCCCATGACCTTTTCTCCCATCATTTTCCCTGGCATCCTCCCAGCATTAAAACATCCAGCAAAGATGTTCTTTGTTCAAAGAGGCCAGGGAGACACTCAGCCTCGGGAGGAGTGCAGGGAGGGAGCAGCAGGGGATTATTCTGAGAAGTTTGGCCACAGTGCAGATGGGGTTCCTGGACAAGCTGAGGGAGGCTGTCTCCCTTTTAGGATCTGGATTGTTGGCTTGTTTATAGAAGTCAATAGAAAGTGTCTCGGGGAAGGAAACCAGTGACCCAGGAGATAAAGGAGACAGTTACTATGTGAGGCTCTGGAGGAAGGAACAGTAACAACAAATGGGTGGAGTGGGGCTACTCCACCCGAGGGGGAGGCACCAGCCAGGGCAAGGAGGAAGGACAAAGGTCACCCGGGAACCATACTGTGGGGAGTGAAGGGAGTTACTAACCATGGGGTTTACCATGGAAAATTCCAGAGCTCTTTTGCTCTTGCTCTCTTCAAGATGTGGGACAGTGAAGATTTAGGAAAAAGTAAAAGAAAGCATCACCTTTCTAGAAAAAATCTAACTTCCAATTATGTAGAGCTTGAGTCTTTCTCTAAGCTGCTAATCTACCAGCCTGTTCGAGGTATATAAAGGACCCCAGTCACAGTGAAGGCTTACTCCACAAGCTTGTAACAGCAGACCATCAGAGCTACTACTGCGGATGACCTAAAACCAGAGCGGCTGGTTCTACACCCGTGTACTGTATTTTCTCACACTTACTGATTGTACTTACCCTACACAGTCTAAGTTTTTTGAGACTGACACCAAGTCTTGTACCATCTTTGTATTCTCACAGCACTAAACAGAATCCCTTCTAAATACTAGCTGGTTAAAGATAGTTTTTACTTTGTATAATCTTTCTTTGTAATATTTGGCAGTAATGATATTTTTTTCATTCAGGTTATATATGTGTGTGTGTAAATTATCAAGATTGAATGCATTTGATTCTTCACTCCAACCATGACCTTAAAACGTTCCATCAAATAAATTAAAATAAAATAAAATAAAATAAATTGCCTTCTTTCAAACAAAAATCTTTCTTCATTGATGAATTTTCAACTTTTTTTTGTAGTATTTTGTTATAAACTGAAAACTCAAAATTTAAAAGTCTAAAATAATAATACAAATATGTATCTTTAAATTTGTGGGTATGTTGGGGGGTTGGCTGGAGAGATGATACAGTGATTAAGAGCACCTAGGTTTAATTCCTAGCACCCACAGGGTGACTCATAGCAGTTTGTAACTTTGGCTCCAGATGGGAGGGTAGGAAGGGTACGGGGTCTACTGCCCTCTTCTGGCCCCCACAGGCACTGCATGCCTATGGTGCACATTGGATGAGTCAAGTTGGCCAGTGGGGCTGGAACAGGGCTGAGAGCAAGACTACTAGGAGCTGAGACTGGGAAGCATAGGCAAGCCACAGAGCTTCTGTCAGGGCTACAGGCACTAGCTCTAGGAGTATGGGCAGAGATCAAGTATACAGAAAGGGTTCATAACAACTGACAGCCAACAGCACCGTGCATGGTCTTCAACAACTGTCAGAATGGTACAGAAAATTGCCAGCCACCTTAACCAAGTCTGTAACCCAAATATTTGTGTTTAACTTTTGTTTCTGTGTGTGTGTGTGTGTGTGTGTGTGTGTGTATGTATGCATGTATTCATGAATTTTTCTTAATTGTTTAAGAGCAAAAGCACAGAAATGATGACCTTGTAGCCCTAAATATTTCAGCAGATCTTCCTCAGAGCAAACAATTCTTTTTAGAAGTCATAATACAACCATCAAGACCTGGGAATTCACATTTACAACGCTTTTGGCATTTTCTTATGAGTCTCAATCGTGACCTCTATGGCAAAACAAAAGAACAAGAATAAGACAATGCATCACAATAGTTGGTATTTTTCTCTATGTTCCATAATTTGGAAAGAAGTCTGATCTTTCTTTAGTTTAAAAAAATGACATGTATGTATATATGTATGAATGTATGTGCGTATGTATGTATGTATGTGTCTCTCTTTGTGTATACACATGCACACCTGTGTAGATACCTTCAGGCTAGAAGAAGGTTTCAGGTCCCCTGTTGCTGGAGTTGCAGGTAGTTTGAACTGTCTGATGTGGGTACTGGGACCTGAACTCTGGTCCCCTGCAGTGGCACCACGAGCTGCTCCTTAACTGTGGAGTCCAATCTCTAGCCCCCAAGTCTATACTCTGAAATATATTTTCTGGCCTTGGCATTTTTTTGAGACTACAGACAGGCCAGTTACCCTGTAGAACCTCTCCTGAGTTGGGCCTGTGCTTTCCCTATGACTTGGGGGAGTGCTGATGACTTCTGGAGAGTGGGTCCTATCAGAGCACTCGCTGCTTGGTCTCGCCCCTGGCATCGGCAGCTTAGGTGGCTCAGCTAAGTGCTGTGCATCAGTTCTCAGTGCTTGTAAAGATGGTACTTTACCTTTTGTAACAACCAAGCCACTAGGAGATAAGTGCTCCCGAACAGGAATCTTTTTGACTGTCACAACTTCTCCAAGAACTTCTGTCTTTTAGATTAGAGATGTTGTATTTCGTGGCTGCCGATGGGCTCATCTTTCTCTCTTTGGTTTCTTTTCTGCAGTACTGGGGTTGATCCTGTAGTGTCATGCATGTTCTCGCTGAGCTAGATCCCTAGCCCAAACTAAATAGTGACTTTTCCCTAATCTCGTCTTTCTATACGAGTTGGTGTAACGCTGAGAGAAACAGCTTTCTTTTTCCATTTGTGTCACTGTGAACTCCTGGGGACTTTAATTTAGTTATCTTCATTTACATTAATTACTTACTTTGATATTCAAATTACTTTAAACTCAAAGGACTTGCCCAAAAAGATGTTTTCTCTACCTTTTGACCTGCCTCTTAGCATTCCTTGAATATTTTCTGGCACTGAGGTGCTTTCTGGTCTCATCTTTTCCTGCCCTTGTCCCTCAACCAGCCATTTCTCCACAGGGCCTCATGGTGCTCACGGTGGAATTACGTTTTACCCTGTTCCTCTAGACAAAAATTTCCCAATACCCTTAGTTGAATCCATTCCTCCAACTGCAAACAACGTTCCGACAGTTGACTTCCTCGGTTTTGTCCGAGGACTCTGCAACATGGGTCGTCTCTCAGGTAGTAAGTGGTACTTCATTGCTTCCATAATGAGTTTCTGGCATTCTATGTCATCCCGGAAAAGTGCATTATTTTCCATGTCTGCCAGGAACTAGGAGAGAGCAGAGTGGACGGACAATGAAGACATGCAAATATACTTTTCAATTTATTACTTTGTCCTGCTGCTCTGTTTATTCCTAGGATTTTATTTCATTTTTGAGACAGGGTCTTACTGTGTGGCCCTGGTTGGCCTAGAATTCATGATATAAACCAGGCTAGTCATGGACTTCTGATTACCCTGCTTCAGTATCTCACACATTGAAACTGTAGGCAGCATCCACCACTGCCAGCTCCTGAGTGCCCCTGCCTCATGAGTGCAGGGATTACAGACGTCCATCACCCTCCTCTGGCCCTGTTTGGGTTGTTTAGGAGGTAGGAACTCATATATTCTGGCTTTGAACTCTTATGTGCCCCAGGCTGGCCCTGAACTTCTGATCCTCCTGCCTCTGCCTCACAGATGCTGAGACTATAGGCAAGAGCTGTCACAACCAAAATATCGGTGCCTTTACAGCATGTTCTGAAATCTGATATTTCGGTCTCCCCCATCAAGTTTCATGGTTTTCTCAGATATTTGAGCTTTGGTTTTCCATGTTGGTTTAAGACAGAGTCACCTAGACCTCTCTCATTATCCTGATTCTCTTGGCTTTCTGGTGTGGATGGTGCTAAGTTCTTTTATTAGTTATGGAGCATACACATTTTGTGATATTAGGTCTTTCTGTCCAAGGAGCCTTGTCACTTGTATGACTTCCTTTACTGTCTTAGCCTTCATTTTATCAAATCTGTTCTTATATATGTAATTATTTTCATTGCCATTTTTACTTTTTTGGTTATTTTTTGAAACTTTCTTTCTTCTTTCCTTCCTTCCATTTCTAATGTTTTTCTGGAGAAGAAACACCAGTCTCCTGGTGACTGGAACTTGTACTAACTCGGTGCTTTACCACACTCCTCGGCTCTAACTGTTATGCATTCGCCCATCATCAAGTAGGGATACTTTGACATCTTCTTCTGGGTGGATATCAACTCCTTCAGTTTATGGCCTTATATTGCCCAAACCTTTAATGTAGTGGAAAATAACTGGATAAGGTAGAACCTCTTTGCTTCTGGCTGGAGTTGGTGGTATCGCTGCTTATATTCCAGACAGTAGTTGCTACAGCGTGCATTGTGTGATCTATCTTTATTTAAGCTGCCTCTGTCTCTCCCTACTTTAGTGTTCAAATTAAGAACTGTTACCAATTTTTCCTCAAATATTTTCCTACATCTATCGATAAGAACACATAAATGTTTTCCTTTTAAGCTAGTGATGTGATGACTCCCTGGATAGAGTCCCTGGTAATTGTTCTTTTGTTGTTGTCCTTGGGAAAGATTTCCCTATCCTTTAAAGCACAGTGTATACCCATTACCATATAAGCATAGGATACGCATCAGACTTGATCCCGTTAGATGACTTTTAGTAAGTATTCAGATGGAAAGATTTGGAGCATTTCTTTCACCTGAGGCAGATCCCAGAGCCGCGTTCCTGTTAACTGCCACGCCCATGCCATCTCCTGTCCCGAACATTAATCTACTCAAACAGATTGGTCTTGTCTGTGTATTTCATATAAACAACATCAGCATGCTCTCCATGCCTTGCTTATTTTATCCAGCATACTCGTCAGGCTTGTCCACGGTGCAGCGTGCATCAGTCTTGCTTCTTTGCTGCTGAATTATTATCCATTTCTAGTGACTGGCTCTATTTTGCTCTTCATCCAGCAACTGATGGACACTTGTGTACACATCACATAAGTGTGTGGACATATTTTGATTTCTCTTGTGTAGACAACTAGGTAAAATTATCCTTTCTTTAAAGAAACCTCAAAACTGCATTTCAAACCATCTGTATCACACACCTGAGTCATACTCACATTCCCCGAGTACCCTGTGAGGTTTCCCTTTCCACACACCCTCACCAACCGTGCCCATCTTAGCCAGCCAGGTAAGTAGAAACTAGGTTTTATTTTGCATTTCTTTAATAGTTGATAATGCTTAGAGTATGTCCAGGCTTTGATAATTGAAGAGAGTCAAAGATTCCAATAAAAGTTACCATAAAATAAAACCAAACAAACCAAAACTGTGGCATTTGGTAAGTATGCATCATAAGCCAAAGGCAAAATAATCCCAGTAAAACACAAGTCTGGGGCAAACTTAGGCTAGAACAAAGAGGTAATTTCAGGCAGGAATCTAAATATTAGGCTAGAACAAGGAAGTAGGTTTCAGACATGAAAATAACTTTGGGCTAGGACAGGAAAGCTGGCTGAGATATTTTGGTCATCCTGATAAGCCCTTAGAAACAGTGATCATGGGCATGTTCACAGAACTTTGTTTATTGCCTTGCTTGTTCCTTGACTATTTATGTTTATTGTCTTGCTTGTTCCTTGACTATTTGCATCTATTGTATTGCTAGTTCCTCAACCTAGAACCGACCTTAATTAAAAATGTATAAAATGTAATTAAAATGGTATAAAATAAAAAAGCAGGAGGGGGTATGGGATAGGGGTTTTCTAGGGAGGGGAAATGGGGAAAGGGGATGACATCTGAAATGTAACTAAATAAAATATCGAATAAAAAATAAATTTAAAAAAATCAAATCAACTGGAAAAAAAAAACCAAAAAACGAAACACAAACTTACCACAGAAATCATTAGTGGATATACATTGAGTTGGCTTATTTAGATTAATGTTACTGTTTGTATTACTTCTGATATAATTACCTCAGTGCTTTCTAAATAAAAATAAATGTGAGATAAAATATAGGAAGTAATGTCTCAGGAGATTGTACAGTAACTGAAATATGGAATAAAACATATTTCTTAACAGGTTGGTAAGCTCTGTAGTCTATTAAAAATGAGATTAGTTATATTTTAAGTAAAGAAGTGAAAATAGACAAATTATAAAGCAATTAATTCAAGAACCACATTAATCAAGTATTAGTGTAGCAGGTTTGCTATTGTTCAGGAAATTATTATGATTGGTTAAACTATAAAATATTGATTCTAATACATTTTTACATTTTTATGAATTCCAAATGCCTTGTCTGTCACAAACAATGGCAAACTATTAAAATAAAAGTATTTGCAGAGACAGACATGTTGGTTGTATAGGTTCTTATCTACATTTTTGCATTTGCTTCTCATGACAGTCTCTCTAAAACTGTCCCCTCAAACACACAGAATGAGACTGTGATGGCTTGCATATGTTTGTCCCAGGGAGTGGCACTATTAGAAGGTGTGGCCTTGTTGGAGGAAGTGTGTCACTGTGGGGGTGGGCTTGGAGATCTTCCTCCTATCTGCCTGAGGATGCCTAGTCTGTTCCCGGCTTCCTTCAGAAGAAGATGTAGAACTCTCAGCTCCTCCTGCACCATGACTGCCTGGATGATGTCATGCTTCCATCTTGATGATAATAGACTGAACCTCTGAACCTGTAAGCCAGCTCCAATTAAATGTTGTCCTTTATAAGAGTTGCCTGGTCATGGTGTCTGTTCACAGCAATAAAACCCTAACTAAGACACATTGCATAAAACTTGGTCAGCTCTAAAGTGTGTCTTCCCTGTAGCATCAGTGACTGTAGCACTTCTTTCTTCTTGAATTTGAATCAGTTTATCAGTAGAACTCCAGCCAAGAGTAAAACAAAATGACCACAAACATTTCCTTTTTGATTATCCAATTTCTTTGGAAAGTCATGTAAAATGATCGATCACTTGGGAGACTGGGGGCCGGCCGGCTCAGCTGGTAAAATGCCCGCTACACACGTATGAACTTGAACTCAAAACTCCAGTTCCCCCACAAAAGCCACCAAGGCATGCATCTGTGACTTCAACACTGGGTGGGCCGGAGACAGGGGGATGCTCACTGGCTAGCCAAGATGATGAGCTCCTGATTCAATAAGAGATCCTCAAGAAAGGTACCAAGTGGTTGAGAAAGACAACTCATGTTGACCACTGGTCTCTGCATGCACATTCATGCATGTGCATCTGCAGAGACATGTGCATACATACAAACAATACATATACACAGCAAAAATCATTTAAAAAACGATCATTTCGGGGTTGATGAGATGGCTGAATGAGTAAAGGCCTTGCAGTGCAAGTCTGGTGAGCTGAGTTCCAACCCTGGAACCTATATAAAGGTGGGAGAGAACATACCTCATGAAGTTGTCCTCTGACCTCCACATACATACTGTGGAATACATGCCCCCCCCATCCCTCCCCCATGCACACGTACAAATCCACATATGAATAATAAATGAAACATTTTAAAAAAGATCACTTGGGTAGCATGTTATAATTATACATATTATTTCTCTATCATTTACAGTGTCTACTGTTGGTGGCACTATTAATTAATACTTAGAAGCTAAATCCCTTCTAGCTAGGGCTCAAAGTGCTTTGTCTAACATGATAAAAATCTCATTTATATGATATCATTGAGAAAACACGATTTCACAAGTGTAAATTCTCTAGGTTATTATACTTAATCTCATTTCTAAAAATAGCCATTAATTACTTGACTGGCATTTGACAATTTTAATAATTGCTGTCTTTTCTGTATGTAAAACATACAAACTCTAACTTCAGAATTCTACTTGGTAATTAATTCTCTAGTTTTGTTTTTCACTTTTATTACCAAAACCCAAATCCAAACCCCTAGAACCCACAAGTACTCACCCCTAACTGGAAAATCTCTAACACACACACACACACACACACACACACACACACACACACACACACGGCCATGGGAAATCTATTACACCCCTCCCCCATGACTCAGGGAACACTGTGGAAGGAGGCCAGAGAGATTATAAAAGCCAGGGCTGAGGGAAAATTGCCACAACAACATAGTGAGTTGTGCACATGGCAGGGCCTTTGCACTCATGAGCTCACACATCTGTGGTGCCTGCCCAAGACCTGTACAGGCATGAGCTCAGGCTGGTCTGTACTCCAGCATGGATGAAGGAGGGGCTTGTCAGGCTCTCCCCTTAGCTAAGGGGCTTTAGGCAGGTGACAGCCACTGAGGGAGGCACAGTCAGTTTTCTACAGCTGCGTGGAGCACTGTAGATTGCCCATGAAGACTCATATTCATTCTCTCTCTCTCTCTCTCTCTCTCTCTCTCTCTCTCTCTCTCTCTCT